ATTGGATTAGCTTTAGTTTGACTTATAAGAAAAGAGATGAGAATAAGAAACTGCACTTAGAAGTTTTTTTTGCAACTTCATAACGAAATTCATTCAAGCAATATTAATTTTACAAAATTAATAAACTACACTACACTTTTCTCTCTCTGCAGGGACAAAACGTATAACGACCGACAGGCGATGCATACAAATACAAAACCACAAGCAACTTCCGCCGCCGCAGGATCAGAGAACCCGAGAACTGTAGAACTCGAACCTGTTCCCATTCCATCGGATGCAAGATGCAAGATGCCCATGGCCGTGCCACTCGGTGCTCTGCTCTGCTCCGCTCTACGTTTTGCGATTCCCCGAAAGCCGCCGTGAGTTGGCATTTTTTCCGCGATTTTCGACGCTGTGTGCGCAGTTTTCGGTTTCAGCGAATTCATAATGATTTCATTGATCTGTCATTCAAGAGCTTCCAGCATGTCTGCAGTGCGAGGCGAATCTTGCACCGTCTATGAAACTATACGAGTATGTCCATGTGCCAACGCGTGTGTCTCCGGGCATCGGTCCACACATATATGCTGGCATACTGATACGGATACTGATAGCTTATCATCGCCGTTGCTTTCATGCTCATTAGAGCAGCTCCGCTGGCATCGTATCAGTGATTCTCCTCCGGCAATCCGAGAGATTCACCTTCAGCCACAGTGACAGTGCGACTAGGGACAGCCAGATGGGCGGATGGCTGGACGCACAGAGGGAGCATTCGGAGTAGTATCTCTATGGTAATTCCAAGTGAGATACCTCGACTGGAAATGGGATAAGCGCACTTAATCCACTTTGATTTTAAAATTTTATATTTTTAAATACATCTAAACAAACCTATTTGATTCCTTTTGATATTCAAAGAAAATATCAAAATATTCCCAGCTAATTAGCGAGCGATCACTGTATTCACATGTCCCCCAGAGATATCGCAGAACTGATCGAAAGTTGATTCATTGCGTGCAATGAATGAGAGAATCTTCAAAGGAATTCGCCCGAATGGCGATATCGATACGAATGGAAAACGGTGACTGGGGGCTGGGGTTAGGGGAAAATGGAAATGAAAATGCCGACGTGCATAATAATAGTTTATTCGGAAATCTAATGATCAATGGGAGATAGCGATGTCCGTTGCATTTCCCATTGGGTCGACATACCGCTCCCTTATCAACTTCATTCATTAGAGGAACTGTCAGTGAGCTGCCCCGAAATGGTCAGTGGGAAAAGAAGGGGATGGGGCAAGGGGAGGGGAGGCTCCTTGGGAGGGAGTTGCTTGCAGAATTGGCAGAATTGCATTGCACGCAATCAGCTCGCTCGTTAAATATAGCACACTTCAATCAGAGGCAGTGCATCTTGCGACTGCCGGCGAGTATTCGAGTTCGAGTTCAGTGCTGTTGCTTCATTCATTCGCTGCACAGTGAGAAAAAATGTCATTTTTGGAATTCTATCTAAATTAAATAAGAAACTATAAGAATTATATCTTTAAAATATGATATTTATTATATAGTTAAAGATTATTATATTATATTATATAATTAAGTAATATTTTTCTCAGTGCTCTTCCTTAAAGTGTGTCAATCGGAGCGAGTTTCGAGCGAATTGGCAGGTCTCGTGCAGCAAGGCTTATCGCGGGGGATAGGGATAGTCTGGACCCGAACCGGGGGCTCCTCCCTTTGCGGTTGCCACTGATTACAGGCCCACAAAAAATGTCATGTTTTTTATTTGCCTGTGTTTCGGATTCATTCTCTTTTTGCTGGTGCTCCTCCTCTTTTTTTTTTTTTTTTTTTTGCAAAACCCGGATGACCCCGACAGCCCCGGTCGATCCGCTGGGTTATCACCAGCCCCTCGCACACACCATATAGTAGGTAGTACATATACATATATAATCGTATATATGGACCGACTGTTTGTAATTTGCGTTTGAGCGCGCGAATTATGATTGAATAATGAAATGCCCCAATGGGCAATGGGCAATGGGCAGTCAGTCGCTGCCTTCAATTATGCAAAACGGTTACTGCACTTTGCATTAATTAACAAACGGGCAAACAAAGCGAAATTCGCGCAGCTGACACAATTTTGCACGTGCTGGGTTAACCCATTTTCTACGGGGCTAGAAAACCATTTCCTCTTTAGATTAAAGTCATTGTTCTCGGCGTGCTGCTCAATGAAAATATTTGGGATCTTGAAGCAAATTCTTTATTTACTTTAAAACAAACTAAAGTTAAATATATTTTTTTAGAAATATTAAAATCTACGAAATACTCTTTAGAGAACACCCTTTAAAAGTGGGTTAATTCCAGTCAGAATCTTGAGCTCAGATCGATCAGCTGTGTGAGTAGCCGGCAATCTCACAGACTTGAAGATTTCTGAGGAGATTTCGAAATATTTTTCCGACTTCCCTCCAGAGCGAGTGAAAATATTTTGCAGTTAAATTTAAATTAAGTACACGGCATGGCATCAGTGTGTGTGTGTGTGTGTGCGAGTGTGTTTATGTGGCTGCAACATTTGATGCGCGCCTTCCGTTGTAAATTTTCATCGTAGGTTGTCGGTGAGATGCCGCCGCCGCCCGCAATGTTTGTGCAGCAGCAACAGCAACAGCAACAGCACAGCAGCAACACATCGGCGACGGCAGCAACATTCTGTTCTTTTTTCCATTTTTTTTTCTCGGTTTTTTTCAGTTTTTAGTAATTTAAAAATAAGTGCGCCGACGGCGGCCCCAAATAGCATCCGCAAAATGCAGCAGCAGAAGCAGCATCGTCGCTCGTTTTGCCGCTGGATGGCCATGTGTGTGTGGTGTAATGGTTTTAGTGAGTATCTGTGTGAGCAGCCCCAATCCGAAGCGAAACGAGAATCGCGTTCAGTTCTCGGGGCCTCCGGTCGGTCGGTCCGTGTGCGCTCGAGATAAACAAACTGCCAGTTCACTATCAATCAAATACCGGAAACAGCTGCTTTAGTTTTGCCATAGCCATTTGGCACACCAATACAGAGGGGCCCAGAACACAAACACACAGACACACAGCATGCTCACAGATACAAGAGATCGGGGAGAAAAGGGATCATCTATCATATGATATGAGGGCATCTTTATAGCCTTCTCTAAAACAAACTAAAAGATACGAAAACCTTCAATGAAACACATCAAATGTATTATATTTTTTAGTATTATATGATTTTTTTTATTTTGTAGTTTTTAACGGAACATACATTCTAAAAACATTACATAAAGTTCTTCTGGTTCGCCAGGGTTTCCCCGCACATACTCCTCCTACTCATCATCGCTTCTACTCAGTTTATTTTATTATAATGAAATGTACAAATAAAATAAATATTCATTATGCATAGCTTTTTGTATGTATAGAGTGGCTTAAATATTAATATTTATCTTTATCTTTATCGTTATCTTTATCTTTATCTTTATGCGTGTATAATTTTTTCTGTTTTTATGCTTGTAGGTCTGCGCTTCTTGAATTTTCATTAACGGCTAGGCTTTAAGGAGTTTTTCCAGCTTTTAGTTTGTTTTTTGGGGTTTTTCTTTTTTCTTTTTCAGTTTTTGTTGCGTTTTTGTTTTTTTAGAAGTTAGGAGTTTTAAGCATAGTTTTTCTTTCTGTTTTGTATATCTAGGCGTATATATATATATAGAGTTATATATACTACATATACAGATTACATATATATTTAGCATATATAGTAATGTGTTTTTAGTGTTTAAGATTAATCTTTAATTTAGTTTTGCTTCTTGCTTTCTGCTTTTTTTGCTTTTTTACGTGTATAAATTTGTTTTAAGTTGCTAATTTGCCACTGTTTTTGTTGTCATATTTCATATGGATATTCTATACAAAAAGTGTTTGTTTTTGTTTGTGTTTTTGCTGCATTTAGATGTGTTTTCTTTTTACCGTTACACTTAAGTTTTGCTTTTGTTTTTTGTTTTTGTTTTTTGCTTTTGCTTTTGCTTTTACGTTTTCTTTTCTATTATTTGGAATTTGCTTGCATTTTGTATCTCGCATTTCGCTTAAAAATTTCATTACATAATATATAGTATATACAATCTTGGGGCTGCTGCTGGCTGGACCAACTATCTCTTTCTGTTTTAACTATAAAATAAGTTCATAAGCAACCGATTTCGTTATCCCATATTTTCGCTCCTAAGATTTGTTCCGGCTTCGTGGTTGGTAGTTGGTAGTTGGTAGTTGGTAAAGTAAACTAACTGACTTTTGGTTTGCAGTACATCTAGATCGATATCTAAGCACATTTAGACAGGTCTATAGTTGGCTCTAAATTTATCGAAAAGTTCTTCATTCTCAACATACACACACACGCACATACATATCAATTTAAAGATTTAAATTCGTAAAGTTCTACAATATTTTTTCTTGTGTAATTTTCGGTTTTCGGTTTTTGTTCTTTTTCTACAACATCAAAAATGGACTGGACTTGGTATATGGTATATATATATATATGTATATATAATATTTGACTAATTTTACGCCATTGAATATTTCTCTAAAAGTTCTCCCGTGTGTGTATATAGGTATATATAATATGGTGTTTTGTTACGCTTGCCCCAAATTGTTCAGTTTTTCAGTTTTTTAGTTTTTCCGTTTTTGTATATGAAAATAATAATAATAAGAAAAAGAGAAACTTTCTCCCCTTTACTTTACGTTCGTGGAAAATTCATTTGGAATTATTTGCATAAAACTATTTATGTTTATAAAGTAAGAATTTGACTTAGAAATTGAACATTGAACTGAAGAGTTGAATTAAGCAAGTAAAAAACAAAATCAAATAATACAAAAAATCGTTCGAAAAATAATTCCTAATCGCATTCGGTTCGTCACTTTTTCCTCTTTCTTTCCTTCTTTCTTTCTTTCTTTCCACTCGTCGCCCCTTTCGTTTAGTTTTTTAAGCAAAAATTATTTTTTAAATAACATTTCTAATAATTAATAATTATCTGTTTGCAGTCTTTGGTTATTTAATTTTTCTTTCTTTCTTTCTATCTTTCCTCATTTTTTTTTATATATCCTTTTAAATCATATATTAAATATTTTCCGTATATATATATATATATGGGGTATATGTTCACGATCCAGCCCGCGATTTTCCTTGGGTTTCCATTCTGTGCTTGAAGGTTTTTCCTCTGGGAAAAAACCGGGCACAAAAACGTTCACCCCTTAATAGTCGGGACTGGAGTCCAGGAGTCGTTTCTCCGGGGTGAGGTCACCCTTTCGCAGGATGCTCCTGGCGGCACTGCATCCATGTTCCATGGCCTTGCCATTGGTTTGGTTGAGTCCACCATCCGTCACGCCGCTGGAGAGGCTCACGCCGCCACCCAGTCCATTGCCATTTACCCCCAGGGGCACTATGGGCAACATGCTGCTGGTGGAACCAATGCTTCCCACTCCACCTCCTGACCCAGACACACCGCTTCCGATACCCTGACAGCGGCATCCTCGTCCTGCGAATCTCCCGTAGCACTTCTCGCACAGCTTCATGCAGCCCCTCATTGGCCAGTAGAACCACAGGCAGGGCAGGAAGATCGACAAGGCTCCCAGCCAGCCCCATCTCTGGGTTCGCTTGTAGGGTCCGCAGGAGCAGGGATTATCCACGCAGGGTGTGCCATTGCCATCGTCGCAGTCCAGGTCGTTATCCCGGGCACAGTGATAGAACAAGGCCTTGGCACAGCACAAGCAGGAGGCATAATCGATGACCGACTCGGCGCTGCACAGACACGTCTTGTTGCACACCCATGTCTGGGGCAATGGCCTTGGGCTCTGGCACTGCTCACACCGACAGCGGCCACATCTTGGACACAGAATGGGATTCATTAGGCTGGGATCACCGGCCATCACCAGTGGTCCACCATTGCCGCCGGCTCCTCCCGGCTGCAGCAGCTCTTCCAGGGCATGCATGTGCTCCTTTTGCGTGGCGGGTGCCGGCTGCTTGGTGATGATGGGCTGGTTTAGACCCAGGCCCAATCCCAGACCCATTCCCAGTCTGGGCGGTGCCGGCTGCTTCGAGGCGGGTGGTTTGGTGCTGTTTTGCAGGTGCGAATGTAGTAAGCCATCGGTGTGGTCGCTTCCAACGGACGTCGCCTGCGTCGTCGTCGCCAGTCGCGCATGTTGCTGGTGTTGCTGCTGCTGATGCTGCTGTTGCAGGTGTTGCTGCTGCTGCTGCTGCTGCTGTTGCTGCAGATGCTGTTGCTGGTGTTGCAGGTGCAGATGCTGATTCCTCTGAGGCAACAGCAACAGGTGGTGGGTGGTCGTCTGGCCATTATCCTGCTGGCCAGCCGGATGCTGCGAGCGCGTCGCATGTTGCAGCGGCGTGTCCACATACTCGTTGGTTAGCCTTTCGGATTCGGGTCGCGGTTGCGCCAGCGTGACGGGAGAGGCGGGCGGCTGGCCCAGAGCAGTGCTCACCGGCTCAGCGCTTTGGAAATGACTAAGGAAGTTGTTGTTGTTGTTGTTGTTGTTGTTGGTATTGACCAACGGTGCGGGTGCCGGCGGTCGACGTCTCGTAAAACTCGACGATGATCCCGAAACCGATCCCGATCCGGACACACTAATCCCCGTTGCCGTCGTCGACGAAGCCGTACTGCTATTACGGCTCAAGCTGCTTGGACGCTGGGGCAGGAAGGTCAGATGGTGGATCTGGTAGTCGTCAAAATCCGGCGATGCGGGTATTATCGATATCGTATTGTTGTTGTTATTATTATTGTTGTTGTTGTTGTTGTTGTTGCTCGCTGCTGCGCTAATACTAAGTTGCTGCTGTGAATTGTTGTTGCTATGGATTGCTGCGGGTGTTGCAAGTGCCGCTAATGTTGCTGATGCAGTTGCTCCTACTGGATGGTCGACACCACTTAACGTCGGCTCCGGCGCCCTTGGTCGATGCACGCGCGGTAATAACTTCGGGGGCCGGGGTGGCGCCAAGGGATCGCCGCCATTTCTGCGATCCATGTAGTGTTGTAACCAGGACTCCTCCCCCAGCTGCACTCCTCCACTCCTCCTCCTCCGCTCCTCGCTCCACCTCGAGATCGAGATCGCTCCTCCACCTCGAGATCCGAGATCCTCAATGCCGCCGATCGTAGTTGCTGCGCCCGGACTCAGCTCGATTTGCCTTCATCCTTTTGCTGCAGATTTGGACAGCTGCTGATTGCTTTCTGAAAGTAGAGAGAAGGGGAAAATTAGTCAATTGATAAGATGGGTTTTCTTTTAGAAGATGAAAGTTAAAGAACTAAACTATCAAAAATGTTGAAGACTTAGAAAGAGAAAGCCCTGATGCTTCGTAAATATCTTTTTCTGTGTTTATAGAATCAAACTCTCTTGTTTACCTTCTATTTTTATACCATTCTACGTTCTTATTTAAATCCAATTCGGATAAAAAAAAACGCCTAAAAGTAATCCACGTTTATTTATTGCCTCCCCCGAGGAAAGTGCAAGAACGCCACGAATTGGTTTTTGCAGTTTTCGCAGCCACAAAAATGGCACGTAGATGGGTTTCGCCGTGCTCATGGATAAACGCAAAATAAATAAGAGACCAGAAATAGTATAGAAAATAGTATAAAATGGCCAGGGAGGAGGGCGTGCCACCGGGTCCAAAGTGCCAGATGCTTTTGTTTGGATTAAATGGCCAGAAGTGAACTTTTCTTCGTCGACGGTTTTAATGTTTGTAATTAATTTCGCAGCTAGGAAACCAAACTGAGAGAAGGTCGCCCGTCATATATATATTTTGTTAAAGATAAAGAAGGTTTATTTTTTCGGCTTTTTATGTAAACATCATAGGGCAACAGCACACTGGCTTTATGATTATTATTATTATTATTATGATTTCGGTTCATAATGCTCTCGGGTTCACTCGAATCGGCGGGACATGATGTTTCGGAGATTGTGTTTCGTGGTTTCTAGGGAACTGGGCTTGGCCTGGCCCTGCTGCTAAATGTTTAAGATCAAATTGCTTATTTATGCTAGAGACGAGAGAGCGTGTTTCGTAGTACTATATTAGGTTTTCTTTTTTTTTTTGGGATCCGCCGACATCCGCGCCCTCGACACCGCTAACCCCCATTATCTGGCTTAATTGCTTTCACCCCGACAATCTGATTCGAAACCGAAAGAAAAAAAATTCAAAATTCCATTCAGCGTTCTCCTCTCGCTTTCAAATTATTTCCGATCCGCTCCGTATTACGTAGGGCCATAAAAATAAATGGAATAACTTTCATAATTGTTCGATTTGGCATATCAAAAGGAAATTAGCGATTCGGATTCAGATTTGGAATGAGAATGAGAATCATTTGCATGTGTATATTATACTGATATATATATATATATATATACCGATCGAGAGCGAAGAACGAAGCGAATGAATAAAGAAAATGATGCTAATTGAACTTTGACTGAGTACATATTTTTTTTTGTTTTTTTTTGGCGTTGATGATGATCATGTTAATTATGGCACGATCGCAAACGCGATTTCGAGCCATGCGAAATAAAGCATTTTTATGGCGAAACAACTGTATTTTTATGGCATGTTCTTGCCGATTTATAGCTGCATCAGTTAATCTGGTCAACGCGGCGTATGAGTAATGCGATCGGCCGAAGAGATCGAAAGTCCCAGACGCCGCGTTTAGATAAATATTTGTTTACACATAATTAAAGGCCAGGCCAGGCCCGTCGTTGCCCCTCTGGCAAATAAGGAAATACAGGAAATTAATAAACGGCGCCTCTGTTCCATAAAAATTAATAAAAGTGCCAGGCAAACAGACAGTCAAGTGCAAGAAAGTAGGAGCGAATTCGAAATTGGGATAAGAGTTTATGTAAGAAGATACTATAAGACTATCTGTGTAATAGGACAAACCTCGATCTGATATTAATAAGCCTTTAAAATGATTTGAAGTTTAAGCAACTCCCCCTCTATCGACCCCACCCCGTCTGTATATATCTGCCCATAAAAAGCCCAACGAATTATTATTATTATTGTGCGGCATAAAAATTGTTTTTAGCGCCAACGAAAATTTCTACGCCCCAAAAGAAATAAATACAGGGAAACATATAGACGCAGAGAGCTATATAGGTGTATAGGCGAGTGGGTTAAGTGTGTGTTTTTCGGGGGGTATAAAAATTAACACAAACGCCCACTTATTGACGTCATGTCCGGTACTCAAAAACAATTTTCGAGAATGATCACAATTGGGAAAAACAAAATAGAAAATCAACGAAAACACACGTCGTGTGGTGGTTGGTAAGGAGTGTGCGGGCAGAAGGGAAATTCATTTTCACAGCAGCAGTGGCAGTAGCAGCGGATCGCCACTGATTGGCAATAAGAAAATCGCGGCACAGGTCCCACCTCTTTATGTATATTTGGCAATCGACTTTTCCGAGGGCGCACAAACTGTAAGCGTCATTTTCCCCTCCTTTGATATACAAAAAAAAATTCTAGGTAGTAAACTATTTTTAAGGTGTTTTTTAAGAATGAAAGACTTTGATGTTAAAGATAGACACTTTGAGTCCCCAGTGAATGACTTTCAAAAACGAAGTTCAGTTCTTGATTATCAATAAATTGGCAGCAAGTTTTAGCCAGTAAAATTCCAATTAAAAGGTGTAAATGCGAGCCATAAAAAACATATTCAAATTGCTTAATAAAAAATAAATAAACATAATTCAAAGTTTATTTATTTATTCGGCTTGGGCGGCGCTGCCTGACGCACAGCCCCAAAAGTAATGCCAAGATTTCGATTTCATTCTTAAATTAATTGGGCACAGCAGATAGAATACAACAATATTGTACGTAATTTGAAAACAATTTTGTTCGTTTTTTAGCATTCACTCGCTTATTTTTAATTGCGCTAAAATTCTTTCGCCTGTGTATAGTATTTTTGTTTGATTTGTTTTTTTACGTTGGGCAAACTTTGACCTTGGATCGGCGAACCAAGTGGCTGAATAAAAAATAAATTATTTCGCTGGCAGTGAGTGTGATTCAATGGCGCACGAAATGTGAAATGTGGCATTTGAAACGTTTTCATTAATAAGTGAAAATACAATGGGCGAGGGGCGGATCGGGAGTGGGGGGTGACTGAAGGTCTTTGTCGCCCGGCTAATTCATTCAAACGATTCGAAGAGATTCATTCGCCTTTGTTGGTTTGCGTTTGTTTGTTTGCCTGCCTGCTTGCCTGTTTGCACAAACAAGTGTCACTGCCAGTTGCGATTTAAATAAAATTATTTAAGGCAGACAGACAGCCCAACAATACCAACAAAAACAGCAACAACACCGCAAACCGAAGCGTTTTTATATATAAAAATAAACTCTGGCAAAAATCAAATACAAACAGGTTTTTTGTCGTATTTTTTTCGGCTTACTTTTTGTGACTGAGGCTGCCATTCTGGTTAATAAGCCGGCGAATAATGTCTCTGGCCCGATCTTTGCCTTATCAAAGGCTACCTTTACCGTTCCAATTGTCAAATGGATTAAGAAAAGTTATTGCCCAGTAAAGACAGAATGACCCAATTAAATTGGTAACAGAAACAGGCCAGGCACAGGGGTAAACAAAATAAGGGAACTTGTAAGTATGAAAACCAAGGAAAAACTTAATTAGTTTCATTTTCATTGATTTTTCCATGTCAAAATCAACAGTAAAAAACAGTTTAAACCCATATTTGCCTTTCCAAAGTACTTCTTACCTCTTCTAGAGTTCTTTAATAGGTCTTTCATTAAGCCTACTTTGTGTTAACTTACTTTACTGCTGATCTAGACTTTATTTTTGTGGCATTTCTGGAACTGTCAGCAATGACATTACAAAAATAAAGAGTTGCAATTCATTTTGTCATGTCTGGCAGTCGTGCTTATAATTTAGTGATGTGTTTTTAGTTTTTATTAAGTTTTTTTTGCTTTCATTCTGATTGTGTGTCAAGTTCTGCTAAAATAAAAACAACTCAACGAATGTGGTTTAGGTTTGAGTTAAGTTTATACTCTTCGCTGGAATCTCCCTTTTTTTTAAGAATATGTTTTTGTGAGCTCCGCTAAAAATATGTGCGGATACACACGCTCCGAGGGCAGACACACATGAGTAGATAAATGAAATGCGAAGAGCGACAGATGAAAAACCTACACAGGAAACGCTAATGACTGCAGGCAACTCGTAGGGAACCGAACGCGAATGAGAAAACTGAAACTGAAACGGGAATCGCTTGATGTTGCTGCTGTGCTGATGCTGTTGCTGCTGTTGTTGCTGCTGCTGCTGCTGCTGCTGAAGCTGCTGCTGCTGCTGCTGCTGAAGCTGCTGCCACGACAACAACACCAACCAGCCAGTCACAGAGCACAGATCATTAAACTATTTAAATGCCCAACCGACCATATGTTGCAGCCACAGCACCAGCACCAGCAGCAGCAACATCAGCTAATAGTTTTCAAAGCAAATGAGCAGCACATGTGGCAAAGGGCTCACGCACACTTGCAGAGATCTCAGAGTGTATGTGTGTGTGTTAATGATATATACACCAAAGTCGGCCTGAATGATAATTATCATAATGATGATTATGTTCATTCTTGTGTCTGGAATGGCTCGGTTCGGGTTTTCCTTTACTTTTATAGAAATCATTGAAGCCAACTCTGGCTGAGATCGGTGGAGTGTGTGTGTGTGTGTGTGTGTGTGTAGAGTGGAGTAGGGGCTTCGAGGGGCTAAGAAGCCGAGAAGAAGCAAAAGATCAAATCACCAACAAATGAGCTGAGCCAAGAAGATGGCATCAAACTGGAGGCCCAGACAACGGTCTGCTGTTCAGAGATGTCACCGCTGGGAACTGGTTCGGGAAATCGCAAGGCTTGCTCATTTTCTGAGCCTATTTAGTTTCTGTTTTTAAGAAAACTAAACTATAAACATAGCTTATTAATATTTAGTTTCCCAAAATGTTATTACAACTGTTTTCCAATAACAATAATGAAAATGGAAACCCTTTCGAAACGAACTAGTTCCCTTAAGTTACTCAACTCTTTTCAGCTTTTCCCTGCTTTTTTAATGCTGCGGAGCTGTTGTCTGGTCTGGTTTGATCTGGTCTATAGGTCTAGAGAACGCGAAGAGGAAGAGGCAGATGGAGGCGAAGAAGAGGAAGATGGTGAAGGAGAAGGAGAAGGAGAGGGAGAAGCCCATAAACTACAAGTGATCGACCTTAAGAT